AAGGTAAATGTAGGTATTTGATCAAAGCCTTAGAAAAATAGTTTAATGCTAAAAATTAAAAAAACATTTTAAGGAGTTTCAGCCTGAATCACTTCTTCTTTTACTTTTTCAGTGTTTTTGGACTAGCCTTCATATATTTCAGGGGTGTCAAACTCATATTTAGCAGAGGGCCGCATCAGCAATACTTGAACTTGTTCCTTCTGTAACTGTAAGACTGTATAGATGTAACGGCTCCATAACATACTAATACACGTTTCTGCAATTGATTAGTATTTATGTAAGTTAAAAATATTGTACTTTACTCTATATAATAATTTAAAAAACAACTTTAAATTTAACAAGTTAAAGACTCAGCAACATGGACTGTGTTATAAGGCAATTAAACAGCGGGCCACACAAAATGACTTAGTGGGCCGCATTTGGTCCGTGGGCCTTAATTTGACACATATGATCTTTTGGCCAACTTGTGTTTTTTTCAGCTTTTGGCCAAGTTTCATTAGTTCTTAAAAAAAAATTTAGGAAATGTTGGGCCACAGTATCTTTGACTAGTGGACTACTTCTTTTTCCTATGTAGATATACTGGTAATCAGACAATAACAATAACCAGGTACTTATATATACAGTACTCTGCATATCAGGATGATAAATTATTATATAGTATGTAGTAAATAAACATTAATTGTATCTGTTCAAATGTACATGAGTTTGACTGAAGGTAAAGGCTTGTATTGACTCAGAGGGAAAAGTGAGGTCGACAGGGACCTGTTTATTCGTTAATGTGCTCAACAACAACAACAACCAGGCAGACCAACACACAGCACTCTGGCAGACTCTGTCTGGCTTGTCTTTATTATTCACAGGACCCAGAGAAAGTGATGCTGACCCCATGACAGAGTCCAGATGGACTCCCAGCAGTCTGTCACTCCCGTCCCTCCAACTCCTGGCCTGTTCATCCCTCCGTTCCTCACACTCTCTACACTCTTTAGCCCTTTACTTTACCTGGCCAGGTGTTATAGGACCCAGAGGAACCAAGGCTTTCTGTAGATTTAAATGACATCTATGTTTTAACTGATGGTCTGGAGGAACAGTTTTTAACTCTGCTAAAATGTAATCAAATCAGCTGTTGTTTCGTAATTTTCAGAATAGTGGTTGCCAAGGTAGGGGTCGCAGAGTTACTGAAGGGGTAATTTGCAAAAATATGTGGTTTTATTCCCTTTGTTGACTGTAAATATCAGTGTTTTAAGTATTCTCCACAGATTAGCGCTACTGTAGAGTAAAAAAGTGCGCTTTTAGTTTTTCATATTTATTTTTTTTAAATGACAGAATTCAACAGTTATGGTTAAAACAGTTATGTTTTACCAGTACAGTTCTCACTGTATCCCGCAGCTGGGGAGCTACATGATTTGTTCTAACTGATGCTAACACCAAATTCCTTAGAGTAAAAAGAAAAAACAAGGAGGCCTCTATTCATCTATTACCTGTACGCTGTATTGCAGATCTCCTTGTACTCCTTGAGCTTATCACACACCATTTCGAGGAACTGGTTGGAATAAGCACTCAGGTCCTGCATCAGGTTCATGAGATCCTGGATGGACTTCTCCACCACCACCGTGCTCTGGAGGAAGACAAGCGAGCGGCGCCATCAGCGTTTGTCAACAGTAACAGTAAAGAACACGGAACAGACAGCCAAAAAATGAACCATTAATAAGAGTGTCATGTTGTATCAAGTCTGTTGAAAGTGAACGGCTCTAACTTATCCGTCCTGTCACCTACAACAGCAGTGATGACCGCTGACTGGACAGCTTGTCGAAGTCCTAACAACGTATCGGTGAAATGGATGACTCTCTGTGTGGAAATGAACTGGCGTGAGTGCACACAGACTGTAGGTGTGTGTGTTTCATTGTCGTTGATTTTTTTTTTTTTTTTTAAACTTTGGTGTGTTTCTCAGTCTGGGACTGAAAGTAAGTACTGGTGCACATTTGTCACAGTGCACCCATCACCAGGAGCTGCAGCAGGACTGTGACAGCAGCCATTACAGATTAGCCACTCCAGCGTGACTAATAGCTGGCCTGGGAACAGCAGAGCAGCTTGGGATCCCCAGACAGACTCACTCAGACACAGGAAGACAGCAAACTTTTCAAAACACACACCTTTCAGCAAATCAAGAGCTGTAAGTGAGATGGCTGCTCTTCACCTACTCTGGTTCTGGCAATTGAATATTTGTTTTAAATTTTGAATTAAATTAAATTAAATTAATTGGATTGTTGTGCCACAGGGTTGTGTGTAGAACATTATTATTTCGGTCAAAATTACAGAGATCTCCCACTTTATTGATCACGCATGTCAAAACGCTTGGTACTGCATATTACTAATCGCTCAATTAAGCAGCAGCAACTCAATATGTTTGAGTGGGCAGAAATGGTCGAAGTGAAGGAGAGGTCTGGAAGAACTTTCTGGTCCGCAGTTTCTAAAGATTGGTGCTAAAATGGAAAAACAAGTTCTCAGGGCAGGGAACATTTTTTGATTGGAGGAGAAAGGCCAGTCTGGTACAATCTAACACGAAGGCAACGGTAACACAACAAAATGGGCTGGAAAATTGCCTTGTCTGATGAGACTACATTTCTGCTGAGTCTTTGTATGTGTTGGCCCAAATGTGGTGTAAACAACAATAAAAAAAAGTTCAAGTTGAAAACACAAAGAATTCCATCCCTTTATCAGGTGTACATATCTGCTAATGGCTACTTCTAGAATCATGTCCAATTTTATAAAACCTCAGATCTGCTTAGACCGGCTTTTTTAAATGAGTTCACCAACACCAGCTGATGAGTCTGCAGAACCTCTGGAAAGCCTTAATGTCAAGATAGACCATCTTGTTGAACCCAAACTGAAGAATCCAATCAGATAAAACAGGTTTAAGGAGTCTACGCAGGCAGAAAAAAATCAAAAATCAAAGTAATTTTTATCTAACGTTTTCTCTACATTACGCAGGCAGAAAACAAAAAATCAAAAATCAATGTAATTTTTATCTAACGTTTTCTCTACATGTGCAATTCTATCCTTTCAGAAATTAAAACTTTACAGAGTTCAAAATCTTTCAAGCACTTCAATTAAAAATATATAGAGATTCTTATGTTATTTATCCATCTTATTTTATTACTACAGAATAGTCAATCAGAGAGAACAGCAACATAGAGCTCAAATTCTGAAGCATTTTTTCAACATTTCTGGAAAAACGTTTCCTTTAAAGTATTGTTTCCCAAAGACTGGGTTGCGACTCTCAGTTGGGTTGCCAGAGATATTTTTTTGGGTCGTCTCATATCATGTTTCCCAGGAGTTTACGAATAATGTCTATAGACTTGGGTCGCGAAGGTTTGTGACTTTTAAAATATGCGTCCCCAGGAAAAAAGTTTGGGAAATACTGCTTTAAAGTACTTCAATGCAAGTACTACATGTAGAAATGTGAGGTCTGGTAGTTGTTAAAAACAAACACATCGAACTGTAATGAAATGTAGGTCGACCAATTAAAATACAGATGGCCGACGATCTTCTCCAGAGAGTCGATAATCTTATTTATTCTGCATGTAGAGAGGATTAAAATCCAGAGTAGGGTGTGGGATTAATAACATGCCTGAATGACACCGAATTAGACTTCACACATTTACAACTCTGCGTGGTATTGGCCGCAGTGTCGCCGCTATAATTCTGTCATTAATAATTTATTTTTGATATAGTTTCATTATATTCAAGGTCCCTCGCTAACTGCCAACAGGACTGCGGAGACCATAGGGGGCAGTAGTGATAGTAATTGATCTTTAAAAAATATGGAAGGAACCCTGATGTGAGAGAATGATATAAATATTAATAGCTCTTTCCTGGCACCCAGTCACCCCTCCCTCTTGCTCGCTCGCATGTGGACGGAGAGATGTGCACGAAAACAGCGGCCGCTCTACTAACTACGGGCGGGGGGGGGGGGGGGGGGGGGGGGGGGGGGGGGCCCCGCGCCCCCACACGAGACG